TCTGTGTGGGTAGTTTAGGAATAAGTTCAGTATCTTATTTATCTTTGTATCCCTATTACTGCCAACAAAGACACATATGTAATAAACATTTGAGATAAATCAATGAAAGGATAGTCAGCTCATGGATTTCAGTTCTTTGGTGACTTTGTTCTGGGTGACTTATTAAATTCTATTTTAAAAGTTTATTTTAGTTTCTATTAAAGAATAACTGACTGCCTTACATATGTGACCAGCCTTTCCAGCAGTTAAAGATTTAACGAATCAGTATAAGAATAATGCTTCCACTTCCTCCTCTGAGAAAAAGGGAGAGAAAATAAAGCTCCTATGAACATAGTGCTGGTTTTCCTTCTTCTATCTTTCTTTCTTTCTTTCTTTCTTTCTTTCTTTCTTTCTTTCTTTCTTTCTTTCTTTTTAGACAAGGTCTCATGGTGTGGTTCAGACTGATCTTGAACTCACCATGTAGTCCAGGCTGGCCTCAAACTCACAGTGATCCTCCTTCCTCAGTCTCCTGACTGCTGGAATTAAGGTTTGTGCCACCACTCCCAGCTGGTTTCATTTTTTATTACTTTTTTATTTTAAAGAGGATAAAATAAAATAAAACCAATCAAAACAAACCAGTGTAAGAGATACAGAACTTCAAAATATTACAAAATCAACAATAGTTACCATAATGCCTTTTGAGGTCTTCAAAATAGCGGCAGATAATTTCAGACATAGTAAAAATCAAACAGGACAGAATAGAATAGAAACAATAAAAACAAAACAATGAATGCAATAAAGGACTTCAAAACAAGCCAACAGTAAATACAAAACTGCTACCATAATATATCTTGCTATCTTTGAAATAGGTATTCCTGCCTTCAGATTTGACATAATCACACAAAACAGAAAATAAAACCCAACTCAACAAAACAATGGAAATGATATAGGACTTCCAACCACAGGGAATCAACAATGACTGCACTCCTCAGAAGGAGATACCCCCTAGATGTCACACTGTGTACCACTATCTTCTGATCAGACCACTGACCCTAGACCTGCTACGTTAGTGAAACAACAAAGCACCACAGGCATCCAGTTGCATTTCACTTCCACAGGTATCATTACAGCCTGTGTTTATCTGAATAAGCCAGTCGCTCACGGGCGGGGGGGGGGGGGGGGGATTGGTACTTATTTGCCAGCCCGAGCACTGAAAGGGGCTGGGGTCTGGCTGTTCCAATCTGGTGGTGGCCTGCACATTGCACTGGCTCCCAGACTGGGCTTGCTTGCTGGTATGGCCTTGTTGTCTCCATCCCCAGTATTCAAATGGTGCTGACTCACAGGGACGCTAGGGTCTGGCCTTTGTTCCATTTCTTGAGATGTCTGTAAAAGACCCTTTTAGTGATTAACCCAGGATTTCTCAACCTTGGTACTGCTGCCATTTGAGGCTGGTCATTCCTGGTTACAGGGACTATCCTGTGCACTGTGGGACATTAAGCAGCAGCCCTGCCTTCTACCCACTAGATATTAGCAGCATCACCTACTCCCAGTTGTGACAAGCAAAATGTCTCCAGGCAGTGCCAAGTGTCCTCTGGGGGAAAATCTGCCCATGTTGAGAATCACTGCTCTAACCTAATATTAATAGGGGAATAGTAATTTTGCTGCAGTTTATTCAAAGCTATGGAAATGAATCTCAAGAAAGAGCATATGCTCTGCATTTCACTTTAGCTCATTGTTGAGGACTGGCAGTGACAGCTCTATTTTGAAATGATCTGATTCATAAATCCTCATTATTTTTGACCAGTTTTTTCCTTGGAACAACTTTATCTTTGGAGACGCAAACTCACAAACCCAAAACATCTTTTAAAAACATATCTTGTATATAAGTTCAGCACTGAATTCTATTATTAGACATTTTTATTAAATAATTTCTGAATAATCTACCGATTGGCTAAAGGAACTCCACAGGAGATCATGATATAGAGTTATCAACTATCTAAATGGTTTTTATCTACTTTCTTAACATATTTTTAAATTATTTAAGTTAAAAAAATCTAAATAAAATATAACAATTGCCTTTATCACATTCTATCTCAAGATTCTGCCCTTGGAAAGAAATTCATTGTTACTTGTGGATTTTAGTTCTTGGTATCTAAGGAATATCTTAATAAGTCTATTTCTTAATTTATTTCAGATATTATCTACTTTAGTATTATTTCAACTTCTGCTCCCTCATATTCTCAACTTATTACAATTTTATTTAAATCATCAATGTAGCCATCCTTATTTACATATTCATGATAGGTTATTCTGTTGTAGTCCATTTGGTTATTTTTCTTTAGTATTGTCCCCCATGGGGATGTTTTAAACACCCCCCACCTGTTTTTTTGTTTGTTTGTTTTCTTCATTTAATCATCTGTTGAGAAGAGGGGATAAAAGCATATGGTCATCATACATTTAACAGGAAATTAAAATTATTTCAAGAATGTTGAACAATTATAAAGTCTAACAATTTTATTGATAGAAGGGAGAATTCTTATTTCCCCTTCACCATTTGCAGTTAACATAAATGACAGCAAGGCACTTTTTTGATATTTAGGAGACAAGTATAAAATGTGATATTTAATTTTTCATAAAAGTAATTTTGTCTAATTTTTATATTATTAACATCAAGAAATCAGGATCGCGCAGAAAACAAAAATAGAAGATTAAAAATGATACCCTTTTGACACAACAGATGAAAAAGATATTAGGTGAAAAGAAATGCACATAACAAAGGCTACAATTTGGAAATTGTAGGAATCAAAGTCAAGCAATTAATTACTAACAAAGATAGCAACTGTCTCTTTTTTGTCTTTCACAGTGAATGCACAATTATCACTTAATACTAAGACTGGGGAATAAACCATCTATAATCTACTGAAAAAGACCATCTGCTTCTATAAATTTTGTTCTCATACTCTTGCCAAAAGAAGAGAACATATTAACAAAATAATGGGTCCTGCATTGTTAATTGCTAGGTTGTTTGCAGTTGTGCTGTTGCTATTAGAATTTAATAAGCCATTCCTTCTGCTAAATTAATAAGCAGCCAAGATTATGTAATAGCTGCTTTCAGCTGCTAATTATTTTTCCCATAATTCCTTCCCCTCTCTACCTCCACCCCCACCTTTTTTTCTGGCTAGGTAAACAGAGATGAAACTGGCAATATGTCACCAGTAAGTCTCCGTTCCTCAGTTTTTGATTCACAGATCAACATTAGAAACATAACCAATGAGTTTAACGTTGAGGGGAACCTTGAGAACAAACGTGTTTTGCACAGAAAAGGAGAAAGGCAGCATTTGGAATCAGAGTTTTCATTTCATATTATTAGAGCTATCTTTGAACTGGCTGACAGCAACTGTTTTGTGTTGGAAAGGAGAAATAGGACATTACCAAGCACCTCTGGGACATGTTTGGGCAGATAGCAGGGAGAGATGTGGGCAGGGAAGGGGGCCTAAAAAATTTCAGAAAGCCGGCTCTGTGCTTTCTGTCGACCGCTTTTTTAATATTCCAGTACACATTAATCATGTATGCTAGTAGGAAACTTTCCAAGAAGCATAGTAGTGCTGAAAAGGAGAGATATTCTATACTACTTATTTTGTTAAATAACAGCATTTTAAAATGCCCTCAAATTCCTATTATATAGCATTTTAGTTTTGCAGACATTGTAATACACACAAATGAACATTATATCTAGTAAGAGTCCTTTAAATTGATAAATTTGGCTTCATGAAAAATTTAGCATCTCTTTTATGCTTCGGGACATTTAAAAAATCAGGTGACTATGTTTACTAAAAAGAGGGCATGGCCCAACAGAAGCAAATTTTTATCTTCCTTTGTAAGAACCTGGGTGGCTCCGGGAATGAGTACCATTCAACAGGGGAACCCCGTAGCTCTTCAAGCAAGGTCACTTAATCTCATAGGGTTCCCCTTCCCTTATTTATAAAAGATGAGTTGAACTACATGAGATATCCATTCTATCATTCCAAAAAATAATACTAATGAATATCGACTATTTGCTTAGTGCAAGCATAGCATTACAGCTCTTAACAAACCTATCATTTTAGTCTTTTTGGTCAACTCGCATTTATCAGTTCTTACAGAACAAGCAGTGAACTAAGTTAAAATGCAAAATGAATAAAATTCACGATGGGCTAATGAGAGGCTAATAGGCACGTGGGTGAAAGAGGGATTCGTTCTTACAGAGTTTTAGTTGAGGCTTCATAGATGTGACATTTGAGAGGAAGGACATGCCAGGCAGAGCAAGTCGTCGGCAAGGGTAAATAGGAACCCAGGCGGCTGGTGGGGGCGACCCCGTATGAAGGAAGCGGGGTATCGAAGATGAAGTGCTGCCCGGACTTTGCAGCCCAGAACGGACAGTAACTAATCCAGTCGCAAGCACCAAGAACGGGCGAGGAAGGCTTAGAGAGACCCTGGCGAAGCCTGGGGCGAAAAGTGTCGGGGCTAGGGCTGTAGCAGGGCGATGGGAAGGAGGGGCCGCCCTGTGAACGCGCGCACGAGCTTCACCAGAGCCAATTTGTTCTCCCCAGAGTTGTAGCACTCCTCTTTTTCCCACCATTCTCACCGACCATCACACTTCTCTGTCTCACTCTGTTGGGGCAGAGAGTCTCATCGGAACTCGAACTCAGCACTTTGTGGTTCGGACCATCCCTATCCTGCACCAAGGGGTCAACTAAGGGCACCGCAGAACCCCAGCCTCCCGTCAGTTAACAGACAGGAAAGCCACCCGCCCGCATCGCGGAGACAGGGGCATAAGTACGCAGGCGCATCCGCCGTGGCAGTAGCCGCTTCCGGGTCACGTGGCCTCGTTTCCGGTTGGCGCCACGCCTCCCGATAGGGATGTGGCCAATCGGCTTACTCACGGTACGCGGCACCCGCTTCATCTCGCGTGGCGTTGGTCTTGGTAGAGAGGCTTCCCGCGCGTCGCCCAACTCGCTCCGCCTCCCGCCGCAGCCCCGGCTCCTCCCTAGACCAACCCCTGGGAGGAGACTGTGGGTTCGCCCTCCCCTTACCGTTTAAGCCTTCCCTCCTCCTAGCGGTTCCCCTCCTCAAGGCACCACGGCTTCTCTTCCTCAGCTCAGCGACAGGGGCTCCCCCTCGGCCGCTGCCGCCGCCGCCAGCCAAGCTACACCGCGTCCGCGGCCCGCGGCCGCAGTAAGTCCCGGGCAGGAGTGGAGGTGCCGGGGATGGGGAAAGGGAGAGATGGCCGGGCGCGCCCCCCGTTACCCCGTACGCACCCCGACGACCCCACCCCGAGTCTGCCCGACCCGCCTCTGGGGCGCCGCGCCCCGCAACTCACTTCTTTCCAGCTCCACGCCGGGCGCGCCACTCTGAGCTGAGTCGGGGGTGCGGAGACCGGTCCCGGACTCCGCGGGGGACCCGCGGCACCTGTGGTTCGGAAATCGCCTCAAGTTTTGCGGGGCATCTTTGGGAGGGGCCGACTGTTGGCGGGGCGCGGCGACCGAGGACTCTGGGCGCCCCCTGCTCGGCCCCGGATGCCATTGTCTACTCCGCTTCTGCCTGTCACCTCGCCGGGGCTCGAGCGGTGATGGAGTGTGTCCCTGGGAGGGGGAGGCATGGGAGACGGCGGGACCCTAGGAACGCTGGACCCGAGCCCAGTCCGAGTCTGAACCCATTGTTACTAATATCAGTCCCGAGGTTTTGTGGTGTCTTGTGGTTTGCGACAAAATCAAAGCGTTGACTTTTTACGAGAAGGAAGGAATATGTGTGCCGTGCCATCAGGTTCGTCCCATGTTCGCACATAATTTATTTTAAGGAGAGTACATTGTTTTTTCGTCCTACAAAGTGTAGTGTAGGGTGGATACCGGACCCTGCTTCAGACAGCCTGAAACCCATACTCTTTTCTGCACGCAAACTCCCTCCCCTTTGGTCCCCCAGATCTAGGAAAAAGGAGTCCATTCTTTTCCAAGTTCTGGTAACGGGTTTGCATTAAATGTCCAGTTGATGCTTGCCTTGCTGCCTCCTTCAAATGCGACTATCTTCAGGATTTCTGTGCGAGGCACTTTGATATCACTGATAGTATCCGTGTGTTTTATACTATGGAAGCATAGAAAGTGAAGTAATAAACCAATTTTAACTTTAATAAAGTTACGTTGCCACGTCATAAATTTCCAGATGCAGTATCTTGTCGGTGCCTTTTTGGGTTATTGCAAAAAGCAACAGTATCTTAGTCGAAATTTAGAGCCCATTTTATTGTACATTGGTTATGTAAACTCCCCCTCCCCAAGTTCAAATTCAAGATGGTGTGAATATTAAAGAGTCAGGTTTGAATATTACTTACATTTACACTTTTAAAGGAACTTACGAAGGTTAAAAGAAAAAAAATCTATCGGAATTCTACCTTTAAATTGTCTTTGTGAAAACAGTACTTGTCTGTAGTTGAAATGATCAGTTGAATTACAAAATGCTTACCTTAAAAAAAGTAATCAACAGACTTACAGATTTCAAAGAAATCCATACAAATTAAGTATAAAATACACTAGGATTTGGCATTCCACTCCAGGGGTAAATGCTATCTTTTATTGTTTTAAATAAGTATTTGGTGTATTCCTGAATTTTTCAAGCTTTGTAGTCCCTTTCATAATACATTAACTCAGTTCTTAATTGTGTGCACGTTTATATCATTGGGTTTTTTTAAAGGAATATAGATATACCTTAAAATCAGGTTTTGACTAAGAAAAACGTGTATTTGTAAGATCTTTGTTGTGTGAGTAATATTTTAGGTCATTCTCTTTTTGCTAGAATGAATTGAAGAGCACATTCTGAGTGATAAGCAGTCTGTCTGCAAGTAATTCAGCCTGGAACTGGAACGGCCACAGGCTGAAAAATAGGTCTCCTGTTTCTCCCAAATGTACCTAAACCAATTGATATCTACAGATCTCTTCTGATGCATGTGAAGAATGTGGAATGTATGGCACGGGCAGAAAATAGTTTCTTAAATTACCAGAGTCATGTTTTTCTATAAGGATTTTACTCCAACTTAGTATCAGTTTTTTCTTGTGTGTGGAGCTGGGTGAGGTGGGAAGGCAAGGTTTGCATCTAATAGTAGATCTTCCTAAAAGAATTTCCTGATGTTTTAACTGGCATAGAGATATTGATGGCTACTAATCATTTGGTCAGTTTAATGCCTTACCCCTGAAGCTTCTCTGAAACAATGTTTTCCTAGTCTTAACTATTAATTCAAAGTATCACATGTAATCTTGATTTTATTTACTTTAACAGATGCAGTTTATGTTGCTTTTTAGTCGTCAGGGAAAGCTTCGACTGCAGAAATGGTATGTCCCATTGTCAGACAAAGAGAAGAAAAAGATCACAAGAGAACTTGTTCAAACCGTTTTAGCAAGGAAACCTAAAATGTGCAGCTTTCTTGAGTGGCGAGATCTGAAGATTGTTTACAAAAGGTAAAACTTTTGTTTATCGGAAAGATGAAGCAGCAGAATCTAATGCTAGGTCATTTATAATGGGGAAATAACAGGCTTTTGAATAGTACTGATAAATAAGGATTAATAAATATTTAGGAAAAATGGGTTTAAAGGAAAACTTTGTATTTTAAAATAACTGCTGTTTTGATTGATTACCCAGGCTAAAACGATAAAATCAGGGAAATCGTCTTTTTAAACAAATTATGTAATTAAAGACAGAAAGTATTATTCATGCTTAATTGTGTTTTTAGAAAAAATTCAGTGAATTCACTTCATTGCAGGGGCAAATTATATTTATGTGAATAATTCTCTACATTTAGACAAGCATAAATGAGAGTTAAATTCCTCCACAGATTTCTAAAGTAATGACTGATATTTAATGTACCTTTTATCTAATTTTGAGAATCTTACAAGCATCTTGGGTAAATACGCCATTTCAGTCATTACAGATAATTAAGAGCTGTATATACAGGATCTGTTTATTAATAGTATTTATTTATTTGAAATACACTTGTTGCTGTGGCAGAGGTGTGCTTAGATATAATAGTTTTGATAAGGATAGTTTTTTTTAATCAGTATTGCAGAATGACTCAGACTAGCTTTTTACTTTGAAGTTTTTTTTTTTTAAATGATACCTGTCTGTATTTTCTTGGTATTTGAAGAAACTTTTAAATTTCTCAATGTTGTTCTAAGCAATTTAAATGAAGTTTGATTTCTTCTTTCATAGAACATGTTTTGTTTTGTGACACTAGGGATTGAACTGAGGACCTTTGCGTTGAACTACATCCCCAGCCCTTTCTTTTTTTATTTGGAGACATGACTTGCCAAGATGCCCAGGCAGTTTCCTCCTGCCTCAGCCTACCAGAGTACTGGGATTACAGGCATGCATCACCACACCCTGCTCAGAACATTTCTTAAAGGAACATTTATTTTGTTTCTTCCCCATTTTTGTTCCCTTTTGAATAATTTACTGAATTTCAGATAAAAGCATCTCTGTGTATAAAAAATTCTCTTATATGGGAGTATGCAAGGAACTAAATGGATGGAATGCCATGCAGGTGAAAAAGATAAATGATTTCTTCTGTTCTCTTTATTGCACTCCAAGTATGAATTGGTTATTTTGTGGGAGAGTCAGAGGGGCAGAAATGGAAATTATAGGATTTAGAAAGTTTCCTAAATACTATAGACCAAATGAATTTAATCACATTTGGGTGATTTTGTATCCAGTGTTTGATTTAGTACTTTTTGGGGAAAAAAAAGTCATAGCATTTCAGAGCTTGGAATGTCTTAGAATAATCTAACCAAGAACTTTTTAAGTTTTTTACCCCAGGGATAGAAGCTCAAAATAAGTGGAAATGTAGTTACCCTTAGGAAATCAGGAACAAGTATTCTGTCCCCCTGCTCACTTGGCCTATACTCTCTGTATAAGGTAGTTCCTGAATTTGAAAAACAACTGTTGTTGACCAAATTGCAGTTTTAGAAAAAAATGAAAATGTGGCTAGTGGCTTGCCTGAGGGCATATGCTACTGACTGACATGGGCCACTACTCAAATGTATTGGAGGCAAAGCTTTTTTTTTTTTTTTTTTTTTTTTTTTGTATTTTTGTATTTTTGTATTTTTACCGGTACCAGGGATCGAACTCATGACCACACGCTTGCAAGGCAGGCGCTTATGCCTCTGAGCTAAATCCCCAGCCCCTGGAGGCAACGCTTTTAAATAGGGGTAAGCACAGTTCTAATGTGCATTTCTTACAGAGAGGTAGAAAGAGAGGGCCTGCCATGGCAAAGGCACCTGCCGGACCAGTAGGAGACTGGGTGATAATGAGGTCTAAACCAAGAGTCTGGAAAGTAGAGCTGTTACCTATGAAAGTTTAATAAAGAGAAGTGGAAAGGAGGGCTACAGAGAGGAAGGAACTCATGAGCACATTTTTGGTTTGGCCATTCGGTGAATGATGAGCTAGACAACTCAGCTCCTTTTTCAGCAAGCTGATGTTGGGATACTGTGTGACTTCCACTAAGAGATGCCTGGCTTTGGAGCCCAGGCATGAATTCTGGGCAAAACTAGGCAGAAAGTGTTAGATAACCAGCCCTACAAGCAGCAGGCAAAGAAAATTAAAGAAGGGAGCTGTAGAGTGAAATGAGAACCAAAGGGTAAGTGTTGGGTCAGTAATTCGGGGAGGTAGAGAGTTTCATGAAGAGGTGGAGGAATTTAAGTAGATGTTGTAGATATTTTGGGGAAATTTGCTGTGAAGGACAGAAGCAGTGGTAACCATCCATAGACAGGGTTAAAAAAAAGAAATGTGAGGCTTAAGCCTATTTCTAGATAGGGAAAGGAGTCCCCCATGTGGAGGAGGAAAATACTAGCAAGACAATCAAGCCTGTGAATGAGCTGTTAAAGGAAAAAAGGAAAGAACTCCTTTGTATCCTTACACATACCCCATAGCCTGTCTGTTTTGGGCCATTGCTTTAAAAAAAGTATAAAGAGAAATCTAAAGGAGTGTAAAACTTAGATCAAACAGAACATGGAATGTATACATGTTTTCTATGTGCTTCACCCCTGCCCACTTCATACTGAAAACTCATCTGCTTACCACATAATGACATATTTTTTGTTGATATTAGCAGGTGATTTGTTTCTCCTGCTCCATCTGGAAGAAAAGACCTTAATATAGCCAGAGAATTACTGTACAGCTTAACTCCTGAGAAATTCTGAACTATCGCTTTTGCTGTTCATATCAGCAAGCACTTTTCTTTTTAGACAAGTTCCCACTAAGTTGCCCAGGCTGGTGAACTTGTGATCCTCCTGCCTCAGCTTTCCAGAGGGCTAAGATCACAGGCATGAGCTGCCATGGCTAGCTTTTTATGTCTTTGTTAAATTGTCTCATGTATGTTCTTCACCCTCGTTTGGCATACAGATATTTCCCCTTTTGGAGAAGGAAAGGTAGGGGCATAGCAGTAATGTAGCTGAAATGACAGGCTGAAAATCTGAGGACTTAAGTTTTGTCCTTTTGAATGCCATAAAGTTGACTGTGATTTTGAGCAAGTCACTTTGCCTTTTTTCTTTGTCTCTAAAATAAATGCTTTTAGGTTAGGGATGTTGCTCAGTGGCAGAGTGCCTGCCTAGCATGCACAAGGCCCTGAGTTCAATTTCCAGTACCATAAAATAATGATAGTAAAATAAATGCTCTTGACAATCCCTAGAAGACCAAATATTGTATACTTTTCTGATTTCTATTTTATGCAGCATTTTATGGAACAAGCATTAGGTGAAAGTCTTTTAGAATTAATTTTAAAATATATACATTCTCACATTACTAGCTTGAGAATTTGTTGAAGGGTGCTTATTGATTTTTTTCACTAACAAAAGAATTTCTAATGACATACCAGTGGGTATTGAGAACAGTTTAGCTCCATTCACCCACAGTCAGCTGATATTTAGCTGACTGTAGAAAAGTCATGTGTTTTGAATATAAGAATAGGCACTTTCAGATGTTCTGAGTACCAGTAATTAGAGTAAGCCTTAATCCACTGTGCTAAAAATAACCAAACATACCTTTCTTCTTACTAGTCTATTAGTAATTTTACTTCTGACTTAGACCTACAAATATGCACTAAGATAACAAAATGAACTTATTATTGAATTTTTAAAAAATACATTTGATACTAGAAATAGGGAGTATACTTCAGATTCTCTTGGTAATCCTTTTCTAAATCAGTGTAATGCTTTTTATTTCTCCAAATATCTTAAAATCTTGCTTTGAGCATATTTTATTTTTGTCAGGTACAAGATTATTTTAATACAGTTCCTAGCTCTGATTTTTAAATTTGAGCTGTGGGACCAAATTGTTGTTCTGGGCAGGTTGCTCAAACCTGGGTCTCCTATACATGCAAATAATCATGGCCTCTTCAGTAGGATTGTTGTGAAGATTAAAATGGTAAAATATGCAAAAGCCTTAGGTAACATTTACTAGTACCTCTCCTAAAGTGAGGACCAAATCAGTGCTCCGTATTATATGCTTCTGTTTCTCCTTCCCTAAGCTTTCTGAAGAGAGATTATCTTATCATCCTGATAGCTATCTGTTCACCTGAAAGGAAGAATTCATTAATTTGATGGCTCTTTTTCCATTCTTAGCTGAAAATAAACATTTAGAGGGAGGGCAGAATGGCTCAGTGGTAGAGCACTTGCACTTCTATAGCCATGGGTTCAATCTCCATCTCCATCCTTAGCATTGCAAAAAAATAAAAAATAAAAAGACAAAAATATTTATAGTGTTGGAATGTATTTTTCTTTATTTTTTTCTTTTTAAAAATATTGCTGAGGTTTAGACACATCAGATCATTTTTTAGATCCTTACTTCTGAATGATTCATACAATTTAGGATCTTTGACTTGTGTTTGAATACTATTGTAAATAAAAAAGCAGTATTACAGATGAAGTGTGAGGACTGTGCAAGCATTAGATTGTTCCACAGTAATACTGAAAATAGGTTGTTTTTTTTTTTGGTACTGGAAATCGAACCTAAGGACTTTGCACTGAGCTACATACATCCCCAGCCCTTTTATTTAATGTTGTATTTTGAGACAGTCTTCCTAAATTGCCCAGGCTGGTCCTGAACTTGTGATCTTTCTGCTTCAACTTCCCAGAATGCTGGGATTACAGATGTGTGCCATCATACCTGGCTAGGAAATTTTGAAAATAAGGAATTTTACTCAGAATTGACTATTAGTAAACTCTTGCATAGAATTATTTGGTATTCTGTTCATATGAGGTAGCTGGATCTGGTTTTTAATCCACCATTTTTATCTCCCTGTAATCTTAAATTTTCTTAAGTCAGAGAATTTTATGTATCGTTTGTGTCACTTTCTTCAAATTGAAAATCCCATTCATGAGATTTTCTTATGAGTTAGAGAACACGGAGATTTGCATTATCCTGTTTCTGTTTAAACAGATAAACAAAAACAGGGTGCTGAAAAAGAGAAGAAGAACTTTGTTAAGAGTCAAAGGCAGTGTCCTCTTATGTCTTCCATGATTTATTCCCTTCATGGTGATAAATGAACACATTCAAATGCCTACTCAATAAGACTGCCAAGACCCACACTGTAAATAATTTATGAAAGTTCAAGTCATGATTTGTATGACAAAGGAGTTGATATGGTAGAATGGAAAAAGACCCCGAGTTAAAGATCTTGGTTTCTTTTTTTAAATTTTTTTTATTTTAAAGCAATTAAGACAAAAGAGGACAGAACAAAGCAGATCAGAACAGAGCAATGTAAGCAACACAGTACTTCACCACAAGACAACCCGATAGTAACAGTAGCTACCATAATGTCTCTTTCTTTGAAATAGTTGAGCATAACTTCACATACAGTAGTATCAAATATAACAAAATAGTATAAAACCATTCAAGAGAATGAAAGTATTACAGGGCATTCAGAACCAAATAACAGAAAATGAACAATGGCTACTATATTATCTCCTTTTCCATAAAAAATTTGTTTATACTATCACACATGTTAAAAACCAATAAGATACAACATGATAGAACCAAAGAAACAGAAGAACAAAAGCATGGTAGGACTTCAAAGCAAGATGATATTAAATCAGCACTGGCTGTCATAATGCCTTGTTTTCTTCAAAATAGCTGTTCATATCATCACACATAATAAAATCAAACAAAACAGAATAAAGCCATTCCAATTAATGAAAACATAAAGACTTCAAAGCAATGTAATGGGAAATCATGATTCCCATAAAATCGTAAGTACTTTTACCGTTTCTTACACTGGGGAGACTATGGTATTTATACATGTAAATTTGATTTATTTCACTTATGAGTATGGTCTCAAGTTGCGTCCATTTATTTATAAATATCTCTTCTGTTTTGTTTTCTTTTGTTTGTGGGGTTTGTTTTTTTTTTTTTTTTTTTTTTTTGGTAAGGGGATTGAACTCACAAGCTCACACTTGCCAGGCAAGCGCTTATGCTGCTGAGCTAAATCCCTAGCTTAAATACATCAATGTGATCATTCTTTATAGCTGAGTAGTACAAGATCTGGGTTTCTTGTAGGAGTACTACTTTGGGCCTCATTGATTTGTATTTTTGTTTTAATCTGTAATCAAGGATGAAAGCACTTGCTGTTGAAAAGATCAAATCAAGTAAAATGTTTTTGATAATATTGAAATTAGTATTGCAAATACTAGATTATTTTCATACAGAGAAGAAGGAAAAACTGAGGTTGTGTGTTATTTTATATTAAAGCAATAAACAGTAATTGCCCATTGTGTTTTCTTAAAGTCACTTAAGTAGTCCTCAGTGAAAATTATCATTTCAACTGAGACTTGTTTAAATATCTTAGTTTTTATTGTCTTTCTTCCCCAAAGTCTTAAATACCCTTTAACCATTTTAAAATGCTGATTTAATCTTCCTCAGAGGATCTGTTTTGCCTTAAGATTGCTCATTAGTAAGTTTGGTTTTCTTGAGTAATCCAGTCCTAAGTGGCAGAATCCTAATTTGGAGGAAAATATGAGTACCTGTTCTTTAGTTTAGCAGTACACAACTTGACAGAAGCTTCAGTTCTACAACCTAGAGCTTGGAAAATTTGAGAACAGGTGTCAGTTTCCCTTAAGTGACAGGAACTTGTGGTTCTCTTTCTAATTTCTATAATAATTTAGAACTCTTGTTCTTTTCTTGGGGTTTAGTCCACAGTTCTAGAAGCCTCCTTTTTCAAAACATTCTATGTTGTTAGAAGCTGAGACAATGATTACTCCTGCTGATGGGAGGCAGAGACTAGAGAAGGCTTCAGGCTTCCATAATGTTCTGTGGCCTGGGTGCTGGTAGATAGGTGGGTTCACTTTAAAAACTCATTGAGCCTTCGTGACTGGAATCCTCACTGTGTGTGGCCTTCTAAAACATTGACTTAGTATTCACAACGCTTTCAGTTTTCTTCCCTGTGTACTCATAGTTTGAACTTGTATGTTTTGTTCTGATTAAATAAACTTAAGAAAACTTGGGTTAACTATACTTTGAATGCTCATAGAAAGGAACCTGAAAAATCAATTATTCTTTCTAGGTGGTATGGTTGAATATTTTTCTTTTCTTTTTGTTTACCTGAGCTTTTCAAAATTTCTTACACATATATTTTGTGGTCTAGGAGAAAAATAATCTGACTGGTATAAAAGAAGAAATTAACATGCTTACAGCATGATAATATTCACAATAGGACATGAAAGTTTACTTAGAAAACATGATTATAGGGGTAATTTTTTTTTCACTTTTTGTTTTGTTACAGATATGCTAGTCTGTATTTTTGCTGTGCTATTGAGGATCAGGACAATGAACTAATTACCCTGGAAATAATTCATCGTTATGTGGAATTACTTGACAAGTATTTTGGCAGTGTGAGTAGTATTTTATTTTAAGAAATTGAATTCTATAGTATTTTTATTTTTTAAAATCTTTTCCTTAACAAGTTGATTATTTGATTGTCTTGGGGACTCTAAACTATAAGGAGAAGGCAGAAATCAGTCTTCCTTGTCAGTGTTTCTAAGTCAGTTAACTGCAAGAATAGGCCCTGTAGACTTGCACATTTAACTATGATGGCAGAAATGAGTTAAAATAATAAAATAGAAAAGAATCCAACTGCAAACATTAATATTTTGGAAGTACTTAGTATAGAATTCAGATATGGTTAGTAGTTTAATGATATTAAATTACATAGGGAGTATGCAGGGCCAGATCTTATTTATATTGTAAGCATTCCATTTTGAATACTCGAGTTTTTAAAATGAAATTTGCTTAAGTCATTGATGCTTAGTGTAATTGCCAGTTTTAGAAAGAATTAGTATTGATATATTCTGATCAGATTTTATTTGCTGATAGTAAGTAAACATCTGGCTTTCACAGTGTTTTGTTTTGTGTTTTGCTTTCCAGGTGTGTGAACTTGATATCATCTTTAATTTTGAGAAGGCCTATTTTATTTTGGATGAATTTCTTTTGGGAGGGGAAGTTCAGGAAACATCCAAGAAAAATGTCCTTAAAGCAATTGAACAGGCCGATCTGCTGCAGGAGGTAAGCTGCTTGTTCTCTGGACAGGGTGCCAGCATGTTTTGCTCTTGCTAGGGAGATCATTCTTACAATTCGAGAAATCACTCCAAAGCATGCTTGGCATGTAGTGTTTATGTGTGGTTTATCAATTGGAATATGTGTCAGTCACGTCAACTCAGTTATCTATGGATGGGCAATTAACTTTGGAAATGATCTGTGGATTAGGCCTATTCTTGACAGGCTATTTTGGGACCCTAAAACATTGGTGTCCTAAACTGTCAGGGACAGGCTAATTTAAGGAAAAAGATTGGCCAACAGTAACACTAAGTTAAGATTTTGGAATTACTTAAGTTAATCCTCTTTTTTCATTAATGTGGATAATTAGGAGTTGACTGTGAGATTATGACATTTTCATTCCAAATTGGTTCATCTTTTCACCTCATGTTCATTAAGTAAATACAAATGTAGCCAAGCAAATATTAGTGTTTTCTAATTATACTTAGTATAGAACCTTCTAGTTTTGTGTTAACAAAACTAAAATGCATTTCTGCTTCTTCTTGCTCTTCTTAAATAACAAACCATGTTCTGTCGAAACCATCATGTTCTTGTCTTCCTTCCATATCCCAGAACCCTAACAAGCCTCTTCCCTTTCTAGAAACCACAGTGATGCTGGCCTGAGTGTGGATTTGACACTTATGTACTTTTTATTTCTGAACTTTAAAATTTCATAAAACTACCTTTTTCTGTGATACTTTAGGTATTAAATTGAATTGTAGGGGCCGAGGATTTAGCTCAGTGGCACAATGCCTGCCTGGCAAGCCTGAGATCCTGAGTTCAAGTCCCAGTACCTTTCCCCTGCCAAATAAATTGAATTGTACTTTTGACTTAATTGTGGTCATAAAGCATATGAAAAGGTTACTAAATATAAAAATGCAGTGTGTTTTCATTAAGGCAGATATATATATATATATATATATATATATATATATATATATAGTCTTGAATATTTCTGATCCACAGGTTTATTTTCCAGATGCATTAAAAGTACAGTTTTGGGACTGGGGGATATAGCTCAGTGGCACAGAGCCTGCCTGGCTAGCACAAGGCCCTGAGTTTGATTATTGGTACCAAAAAAGAAGAAAAAATAAAAAGACCAAATGTATAGCTTTGTATTTGCAGCTTATTTTAACCCCTTTTTGACCATTATATATTTGTTTGTCTGTTCTTGTCTTTTTTGCTTACTAAAGAAACTTTTTTTTTGGTACCAGGGCTCAAACTCACAACCTCATGCTTGCCATACAGATGCTCGTGTTGCTGAGCTAAAAACCGTGGCCCACTAAAGGAGACTTTAATCTCAGTTTTCAAACATTTCATTGTTACAGAAATAACACCCTTTAAGGGAATGAAGTAAGGAGAGGAACTAGAGAATCTCATTGTATCAGTCAATTGTGAGGTTGCTAGAAGTTGGGATGGCATCATATGACTGTTAGTTGTGAGGAGAATGTCTTGTGCAGTAATGAACTTGCAGTTATCAAGAGTGCTTAGGCTGCCTGCATAGTGAAGTAGTTTATTGGCAGCCCTGATACCATCTGCTGTTCAGTAGTGAAATGAACAGACCTCTTTCCTTGTGTGTACAGTTTGCCATGGTGGTTTGTTCATTGACTAAAAACATTTCACTTTGGAGACTTTTATTTTTAATATCAGGTGTGCTAACTACAAGCTCATATCTACTGTTGCAAAATTGATCTTAATGTTAGTATCCCCTTATTTCACTATTAATTAATCAAACTTTAAAAATAAATGGTCAAAATCAAGATTAGTAAGACTTTTTCAAATCTGTCTTTTTTTTAGGCAGTCTTGCTATGTAGTTCAGGCTAGCTTTGAACTCACTTTGTAGCCCAGGCTGGCCTTGAACTCACTGTGATCCTCTTGCCTTAGCCTCCTGAGTGCTTAGAGTACACATATTTGTCTCTTGCTGTGATCACTTTTGTTTTTCTTTTTATTATGAAACTAATTTATCCCATCAGAACCTGATATTTCTTACAAGTTTTTAATCATTTCCTGATTGATTACACTTGCTTTACAACACTGTTAAAGTTTTGAAGTTTAGCTTTTACTTTTAGTGTTTTTCCTAGAGAGTAAAGTTTAGGACATTGATATTTCCCTATGCCTTTAAATGCTCTCAGGAAATTGCTACATATATTGTAATATGACAGTGATACTAGGCTTACCTGATCATGTTTTGAGTAGTGAATGTATTCAGGAGTAAAAACATAAAGAGTATATTTCCCAAGGCAGATTCTACCTGTGACTTCTTAAGCTAAGGATCTTTACTGCCTACATTATCAGTATTTAGAATTTTTTATTGAATGTATCAATCTATAATAGCTTTGTGGGACTTACAGTTTGGGGTATAATATTCACTTAGTCAATGTCATGAAGTGATTTTTCTTCAAAAATTGTTAGTGTAGCTGGAGAGGTGTCTAGCTAAATGCAGCTTGAAATTTTGTAGTGAAAATACTCATTACTTGATTTTAATCTATTTTTTGTACATTTTGATTTTTCTATTTAGTAGCAGGTATTTTATTTGGATTATCTCTGAGTGCTAAAGAAAATTTTGAAATTACAATGTACTGACATCTGTTGACTCAAAAGTATGTGAAAATCACAATTATTTTAATTTTTAAAAAATTTATGAAATATACATTTCTATTCTTAAAAATGTTTATTCAGAAAAATTTCCTTTTACCTAATTTGTACAAATGTTAGATACTTTAGGTAATATTATAGGCAAATGGGGCAGATAGTCATGGCTAAAGTACATTTTTGGTTGGCATATTACAGTTACGTGGTGATTAAGAACATAACACAAATGTATATTTGAATAATTGCTAAAATATCAATAGACATGATTAAATTCTGATACCTTTTTCATTGTGCTTAATTACTTGGTAAATACAGGATCATTTTGTCATTTGTAGACTAAATCTGTGTTTATTATTCCTTGTGGTATTTGATTATATGAATACATAATTAGATTTGTGGGGAAAGCCCAGAAATTGGCCCATTATCCAATTTTTAACATTTAACAGTTGACATTTAAAACATCATCTTAACATGCCATTGTTACTAAAGTTGACTGTGAAATTCAAAGATATAATATGCTGAGATTACTAAATTGATATTCTTTACAGTGTTTGGAATATCCCCCATGCATATATTTTAAGAAAGATTGAGGGGGCGATAGGGAAAGATGATGCAATGCAGTAGAATTTATTATATAAACACACACATATAATGACAAAGGAAGTAATCTCATGGCTTTTTTCCTGTAAAGTCAGACACTTACCAGTTTCTCTCTGCTCCTTAATTTTATAGAGCCAGAATGAAGAATGGGGAGGTTTGTCTGAGGATATCTTATGATAAAGAGCAGTCTAAGGCTTTAGTCCCTTTGACCCCCAACCTATTATTGGTAACTACTAAATTTACCATCTTTGTGGCATGGATAAAATGGGGTGCTATGCAAAGACTGTTGCACGTGAGATGATCTCAAATCCTTGCTTGATCTGTGAAGATCAAATAGTTAAATTCTGGGGTGTTGGGCTTTAACCTTCAGCAGTAGATGCATGGTGGTGTTGATCAGCGCTTTGAGATGTGTCAACCTTTCTTTTTTATACTAACAGCATCGTTTTGAAATTTGTGGAGTTTTGGTTTTTTTTTTTTTTTTTGAGCTTTGTTTGCTGTTGGTATTGTTTCTCACTAAAGTAATCTGCAAGCTGGAAAATAAGTGAGGTGCCAAAAGCAAGCATTATATTCATGAATATACTTCTGTTTCAAGATGATCCACTTTATGAGTAGATTTACTGGGTTTGCAGACGTTTATCTGCCCTTGTCTACAATGTGGTGCTCTATGGAGAATTAACTACAGCTACAATTGATTTGTTTTAGTGCTGGGGGCTGCATGATATATCTTAGTACTATTCTATATCTTTGTGAGAGTAATTAATTAATAAGTTGGTGGAGCTGCATAAAAATGAAAAGGTAAGAATCTTAGGAGAAAAATGATTTTTTTGTAAAAATGAAGCTCCCATAAGGCAATATTACTTTAAGTAAATAATTACTTGAAGTATTTAATAACATGATGCCTTTAATAGGAAGCTTTGAGTTTCTTAAAAATTAAATTTTGCTAATTAAGAATATTTGGGCATGCTGATTTTACTCAAGAATATCTGAAATTGTTATAAAAGTTAGGTGCTTATATATCAAACATATAAAATAATTAAAACAAATCCTGTAATTCCTTTGTAGTTGCTACTGTTCGTGTTAAAATCTTTAAGTCTAAACCTCTTTCTTTTAAGTTGAGTTAAAAGTTAACAAGGCTATATAGTTTTTTTCATTAAGCAGCACTTTCAGAAAGATTTTAAGTTTGAGTTTTTTCCCCCACTGACATTGTCATTTCTTTTGTTTCCTTTTTTTGATTTTTAAAAAAGATAAATTCTCATTATAGAAAAATTAGCAAATACAGGCAAACACACCTGACTATATTCTTACCCACCAAACCAGAGCCAGTTTGATGCACTCAATGGTTCTCATGGGTTGGCTTTGGGGCACTTGTGGCCTCCACGATACACTGGACTATGACTGTACCCAGTTTTGGTTGTCACAGTAGGAGAATATTGCAGCTAAATACACTACAGTGAATAGGATAGTTCCTCCCTTCCTCCTAAAAAAGGAATTATACAGCCCTAAATGCCAGTTGTGTACAGCTTGAGAAACTGATTTAGTATAAGACCATGGAATGAAAATTGCATTTATATTTAAGGCTGCAATATCTTTTCAATATTACATGTGGTCTATAGTGTAAATAACTGGCTGAAAATTAATTAAAAAATGCAAAAGGAAAGAGGAGGGAAAGCCCTAAAAATTGCGAAAGAATGCTTATGTGCCAAAGAAGTCATAAATTGCTATACAAATCACCCCTGTGATTCACCCATATTACTTTACTTGATAATCTATGACTGATTTTAAAGACTAATCCACAGCACAGCTTGTGGGATGTCACTGCATAACCTAATTTCCTCAACCAAATCTGGTCACTTCTATTAAGGTAATTGAGTTTTTATGTGGAAACAGAATTGAATCTATCCCTTAGGCAGGCAGAGTACTTTTAAATTTTCTGATTTCCTACCTACCTTAGAGATTTGATCATTTCTTAAAGGAAGAATTGATTAAATGACCAGAATTTACACAGATTTTCCCTTTGTTGCACAGGCAGACTTTTTGTTATTGTTTTTACACTGTATTAGCCTTAAAAATTTACTAAGTAAAAATAGTTTTAGTGTTTGAAATTTTGATTTAGAGAACTCTTTTTATGTTTGGAAAACTGATTAAAGTTAGGGTATTTCAAGTCCAATACAATATAAGTACCCTAGAATGTTTATTTTTTTACAAAGCACAATTAACTGCCAGAGAATGTAATTTGTCCTTCATGTTTTTTAATAAATTTCATAGCAACTTTTATAAGGTGTAGTAAAGTTAATCCCATCATTTTTAAGGCAAATATAATAGAAATAAATCCACAGCACAACAAAAAAGACAGCAGAAGACATGAATAATTACCATAGATAACATATGAAAGAGAAACAAATGATCCCCTGTTTAAGGAAATGTAAATTAAAGTATTGATTAAACATTTTATTTATTTCTTCTTGGGCTGGCAAAGATGAGAGGATACTCTGACAAGCACTTATGTTTTGCTTTGGGGGATCAGTTTGGCAACATCTATTAACTGATGTCTACTTTACCTGTTGACCCATTAGTTACACTTTAAAGTACTTTATCCAATAGAAATGTACAAAAGTATCAGTAGCATATACTCATTATAATATTAAGCCATTGGAACTTACTCAAATGTCCATCAATGGGAAATTGGTTAAGAAAATTATAGCACAGTCATATATGGAACTGTTAACATAGCTATAAAATAAATGATATCAGTTTTCTGTGTAATGATATGAAAGAATACTCAAGGCATATCAAATGAGAAAAGATGTACTAGTAGGAAACTAACTTAAATATGACCTCCAAAAATGTTTAAAGTCCCACTCCCCATTTATTAGAAGTTAAAAACAATCGTATTTAGGACTATAATTTTTTTAAATATGAAAAAATGCTGCTGTATGAATGAAAGAGTATACATTGTGTTGCACCAGATGGTAAAACCAGAGTAGAATTTACTAAAATAAAGTTTCAGTGCATAGAGTAAAGCACTTGTCTACTCTTGGCCATTTTAGATACCAACCATCTGGAGCAACCATATATATACCTCTTGCCACTCATTGCTAACTAAACATTAAAAAAAAATACTATATTTTCTGAGTAATTCACAGATGCTCCTAAAATAAAACTGACACTGAGAGCCCTATTACCTAAAAGTGATTTCAGTTTCTTTTTCTAATTCCTTGCTCAAAATAGATACTAGTGAGATAGGATACTCTATGGCCCTTTTAAGCTTCAGTCCAAAGAATTTGACTCCAGAGTTGAATATATGAACTTCGTATGTTTTGCCATAGAAGTCAGTTAAAGGCAATTTAAAAATGACCATTGTGTTCTAGAATATGAAGGACAAATGACACTACTTTAAACAAAGGAACAAGTAAAGGAAGCTCTTTTATAAAACAAACCAAAGAAAATAGTAGAGCAATAGCTTGAAATTACCCTTGCCTATGTTTACTTTTCATTAAGTGAAAATTGTTTTTAACCACAGCATGTACTAGAATCAGGAGACAAGACATTCAGTCTTGGATTAGCCAGTACCATTAGTTCATTTAAGTACTTCACATTTCAATAAAACTTAAACCTACAGATAATGTTTACCAATGTTCATTATAGTGTCCCAGTTGATTTTACTTGTGAGTCATAAGCCTAAGATGGCGACTGTCTAGGAAATTTTATGGTAATGGGAATTGACTTTTCCTAGAAAGATAGGTGGTTTTGAGAACAGGTGTAACTTGATTCTTCTCTGCTATGTTTGTCATCCTACACTTCCCACTACATCTGGTACTTCTTATAGGGGACTGACACCAAAATTATTCTTCGTGCAGAGGAAAGTTGAAGATGCATATATACTAAGGAGCTGATGGAGATACTGATAAAAAACAGGAAAAAGTATACTGTACTAGGAGGGAAAATGGGAATGGAATCAAAAGCACTGATTTTGGCAAGAAGAGTCTCCTCTGTTATCACATGGTAATGGAGTAAAGCTATAGAGGTTTTTTTTTCTCCATGGGTTAGATGAAAAAATTGAGGAAATTGTAATTGACTTGACTTTGAGAAACGACATCATCTAGAATACCACTTAGGGACTGAGGAGGAGAAAGGTAGATAACAAGGATGGCATAGAGCATTGACAATAGACTTAGGCAACAAATTAGTGATGGGCAAAAGGATTGCCCAGGAATGAAGGCCTAATTCAGGTTGAAAATGATATTTTTGAAATCTTTGTTAAAAAAAATAGGCCTCTAAAGAGTCTGTACTAAGTACAACTTCTGGCTTCTAAGTAATATGATCAGACTTACATTTCTTTCTCACTATCATTCTGGCCTTTATGGCCACAATTTAAATCACTAGCATTTTAGTACATTAAGAAATTTAGAGTTTGCTGAGTAGTCTATATGACTATTTCCAAAGGTACCTGTGGGAAGAGCAAGATAGAGGCCTAGTTCTGGACAGAATCCTTTGTGTGCTATGATAGACTTTACTAATTATTTATAGAATTCTTCTGTATCTCAAAAGATGTAATAGGTAGTATGAGAGCACAGAATACAAGAGCTTACATTGACTCTCCTATGTTTTCTTTATATATGAGAAAAAATTATACGTTAATTGTGAGTATACCTATATCATTTAACTAAAAATCAACCTTAAATATCAATGGTCATTAAGGCATTTATTTATAGTAGAACTTTTTCAGACCCCAGCAGTCTGAACTGGGGAATTATTTCAAACATTATAGCAGCTTAACAGTGGTAAAAGAGGAGCTGGGGATTTAGCTCAGCAGCATAAGCGCCTGACTTGCAAGCAGGCAGTCGTGAGTACAATCCCTGGTACCAATAAAAACGAAAAAGACAAAAGAAAGTGGTAAAAGAATAATACATATGCCAATACTGTTACTCATTTTTGTGTATTTAGAGTTTATTTTCTTTTTAAAAGATGTTTTTCCAATGAAGAGGAGTTTCTTCCAATGAAAAGTATTCTTCACAATAGATGGATGTAATCACTTGTTTGAGAACAGTAATAAGGATCATTGACCATAAAGAATAGTTTGGCTTGTCATCAAACCTTTCCTTTCATAAAGGTAGTAAAACATCTGTCGGGTAATAAGTGGTAGCAATGCTTGGTCACATTTCAGAATTGTTCCTGTAGAATTTTTGTTCTGATTCCCAAGTCTTACCTGGGAAAAAATGACTACAA